GTCTGTTGAGGGATTTGAAGTCTGATTCCCAGACCTTCTGAGTTAGCCACTATCAGTATCAGTTTACTGAGGAGAGAATGGGCGAATGCCTTTGAATTCCTAATCTGTAACAAAATGATAGGTAATATGTGGATACAAAAAAATGAAGTACGTTAATTACATGCTCCGGGTGAAGACCCAACAGTTGTTAGTTTGTCTTGTAGTGTGCGAGCCACTTATCGAGTCAGAGGAGCCGGTGGGTTCGAACTTTGACACCGTCTGTGGTGTGGAGCAGACTGAAGGTATGGGAAGCTCTTCATTCCCTGGATCTCTATTTCTTGGTCTCCTAGGAATATTAAAGGTACTCCAAAAGCAATCCAAATGCAAAGAACCGAGATGTAAAAAGGAGTATAATAACAGGAGAATAGTACGTAAAGGAAAACGTCAACAGGAACAAGGGGCCAAAGGAGTATTAAAGGTTGAACGCTGTTCGGGATAGACAGTAATGGGGGGAAGGGAAAAATCCACCACGATATCACGAGGACGCGTCAGCAGATGTCACCTTCACAGGTTCTGTCTTCGGTTCCAATGGTTCGCCCTCCTCCACAGCTGTAATAAGGGAAAAGCAACTAAAGAACTCAACACCGTCTGGCTCACACTTCAAAACCCGCGGCAAACTCCACCTAGCTCCTTTCTACGTCAATTAGAACAACAAAGTCCTCTCTCCTCTGCTCTGGTCTAAATAGTAATAAAAACGTGATTACTCGCTAATCACGAGTAGTGTAATGTGATGTTCTTGTGATATGGGAGACCTGTTATGGTGCGTTTGGTGAATGTCCGGTCTGTTCTTAAATAAATTAAAACAGGTGGAGAGGACAACCTCTTCGGAAGGGCGTTCCACGCTGCAGCTACTCTGTTGCTGAAGAAGAACTTTCGTCCATCGATCCTTGCTTTCCAGAGCGTAGTTTAAGTGAATGCCGGCTTGAAGTTGGCGTATTAGCCTGAGTACAGAAATCGTCGGGGACGAAGTAACAATCCAGAAGGTAAGTATGAGGTCTCCTCGAAGTTGTCTGTAGGAGAGGGGAAATAGATCGAGGGTTGACAGTCTGCTTTCATAGGGCAGTGTTCCCAGACCTTTGACCATTTTAGTCGCTCGCCCCTAGACTTTCTCTAAGACAGTACAGTCTTCGACAGTCCAAAGCCTCCCTGCCTGTATAGCGAATGCCAGGTGCGGCCGAACAACGCTACCAAATATTTTGAAAAGCTGTCTTTTTCAAATCCCATAAATGCTCGTCTTATCAGCTGTAATATAGATCTGGTCGACTTCGCCGTCTTCGTGCAGTTCAGCGTTGGTTTGAGTGAAGAAGTAATCTGTATACTCAAGTCCTTCTGACTCTCAACTTGTTGCAGCGGTATACCGTTTAAGGAGTAGACCTTCGGGCCGGATGTTCTACAACTGCTGATTGGAGGAAAGTTGCATTTACTAACATTGAAAGGCATAAGCCAATGCTTTGATCAGTCCTCCAATCTGTTCAGATTAGCTTGCATATGGGTTTCATCTGCCGTATTTTGGAGAATTTTCCATAATTTGATGTCGTCAGTGAACAAGGTGACATTAAAGTCTAGGTCCCTGACACAATCCTTGATGGAAACAAGGAATAATGTGGGACCTAATACTGAGCCCTGTCGGACGCCACTCACCACAGGTACCCCCGAGGACTGCTGGCGACCGACTTTTACTCTTTGGGACCGCCCTGTCAAGAAGTTTTGGATACATATGTAGATTGTCCCGCGAACGCCTGCGCTGCGCAGTTTATGCAGGAGGCGTTGGTGAGGGTCAGTGTCGAACGCCGTTTTGAAGTCAATGTAGATGGCATGTACCATGTTGCCCTCGTCACTTGCTTTGGTCCAGCGATCAAGTGAGAAGAGCAGATTCGTAAGACATGACCTACCCCTGCGAAAACCGTGGTGGGCATCGGAAAGGAGGTGATTATGCTCGAGGAACTGTATCAAAGCTTTCTTAATTATTTTCTTCCATGGTTTTGCAACAAATGGAGGTAAGACTCCTCGTCCTGCAATTATTTGCGGACGCTCGGCTTCCATTCTTGAAAAAAAGGAG